CGGTGGAAAAATAATACACATAAAAACATAACTTTCCCCAATGACTTTCAAGTAGAAAGCACAAAGCTTAAAAATTTGGAAGGAATAGTGGATATTTCTCCAAATTCAGTACAATTAAAACTAACTGGAGCCAGGCATGGATGTGCACGCCTTTAGTCCCAGCATCTGGAATCAGATTGAGATTGAGATTGAGGCCAGCCTGATCTACACAGCAGTTCTAGGACTGTTGGGGCTACAGGGAGGCCCTGTCTCCAAAAGACCAGGGAAAAAAAGTAATTCTGTGTGTCTCTTTAAATCTCTGAAACTAAAGCTACTTGAACAAATAATTACCATATAAAATATAATTCTAAAATTGATGGTAGGCCTGTAGTCTGACAGAATGAAACTTTGCTCCGCTGTAAATAATCTTTCATTACCATTAAAAGGTCATTTCTGCATGGGCATAAAACACGGGTAGAAAGGAAAATGCTTCAGCGGACTCTAGAACATGACAAGTTAATAAGTTAAAGATAATTCTTAGTTAACCTCACCTGGAATCCCGAGGTAATAATAACTTTATTCTGTGACCCTGGATGGCTCCAATTAACTTTTGTGTAACTATGGTTACAATTGCAAATAACACCTCACTTTTCTTACAAGCCCTTTCAACTTGGGGAGCAACTCAAACCACCAGCCAGCACTGAGGGAGAAAGGCCCGTTAGCATCAGAGAAAGTGCGCCCATCCCTCTCCCTAAACCCTGATGAGAGGAAGCACAAGCGAGAATATTTCACTTAAATAAAGCCCCTCTCCTCGATCTCTTTGGTTTGCTTATTTTTTTCCAATGCCTATTAAGGATGCTTATGTGGTTTAGAACAACTCATAATGTTTTACCCTGAGGAAAAAAAATCATAATAGTTGTTTTTATATCTCTAAATGAAGTAAGCATAATTTCAAAAGGAATATGGAATGACTTGGGTAATTGCTGAGCTATGACAACATTCATCCGTCTCGTCACAAGAGGAAAAGGTCCTCAGGCTCATCAGCTAATGCAGACTTTGGCTAACCACAGCATCTTCCTTTCCCGGGTCATTTCTGACTCACAGTGATCTATCAAAGGCTTCCATCAGACACTCCCCCAGGAGCAAAGCCGGATGATGACTTAAGAGTTAGAGACCCTTCACGGAGATGGGAGCCTTGACACAGGACTTGCTTGATTCAGTGACCTGAAAGATCCTTATGCTGGTCGGATTCCCAGTGCCCAGAGCGGTCAGTTCTCTGTCTGAAGGTTGACTTTGGAACATGCATTTGACATGATCGATACAAAGGCTCCTTTAATGACCAAGAATGAACCGTGGAAATCCGCGCCTTGTCATCTCTTTACTTGCTACTTGTAACTGTGACTAATGTACTTGGGAGACTGTACTTGGGAACGTAGGGAACTACCCACAGCTTCACAAATGTCTTCGCACTAAGTAGATTCCCTTGCTGTTGGGAACTGAACTCGCCCATCACTGGCTACATAGCCCCAGTCGGTTTTAAGTAAGTAGTGTTGGAAACACTTGGTATGGTGGTATCTACTTTCCTTATATTATTTGAGACCCAGAGTCATCCTTTTATAGAAATAGGCATGAACCCGGGTTAGAAATGCCCTCTGCAGCTCTTCTCCATCTGTGCATCAGTCAGTCGTGGGAGCAGGTCCAGGGCTGCTCAATGGAGGAAGAAGAACATCATCAAGCTTCAAAGTTGCCAGCCTAGAAGATGTAAGGGTTTTAATGGAAGAAAGTAATTCTGCAGTGGGGATGCCAGCCAGGAAAGGGATCATGACTCACTTAGGTGTCTAGTCTCCAGATGCACAGGGTGTTGATGGCTGGGACGGAACAAAGATGGCAGAGATGTGCTGTTTCTAGAGTCTTGCTGCCCAGTGTGGGGCCACTGCCTAGGCCCAGTGAGGCTGAACCCTCGTGCTGGGTTTCGATGGTCCAGTGTGGGTGACAAGAATACCATACATCTCACTGTGAGCTTCATAGTGACTTAAACGAAAATGATAATATTTTGGATATATATGGTAAATAAAATATATTACTAAAGTAACATTCATCCATTCCTTTATGCATTTAAAATTGGGCTGTTCCATTTATATTTTAAAGATTTGTTCATTTTTATTTTATGTGTATGAGTGTTTGGCCTTCATGTATGTAAGTGCACTACATGCTTGTCTGGGACTTGCGGAGGCTGTGAGAGGTCAACAGATGCCCTGGAACTGGAGATAAGGAAGGTTGTGAGCCACCATGTGGGTGCTGGCAACTGCACCCAGGTCCTCTTCGAAAGCAGCAATTACCCTTATCCACTGTGCCATCTCTCTAGCCCCTCTGTACTTATAATTACGTGTGGCTTACATTGTGTTTGGGGGGCGGGAGGTCACAGAACTGGGGCATCCACAGGTAAGACCAGCTGACAGACACTACACACAGTCAACCAGTCCAAACATGGGCAGTGGGGGGTGGGAAGCAGTGCAGTGCTCAGCAGTGCTGGCTGCTTACCATAGTTGGTCACCTTCTCCCCACTGAGGAGTTATCACATGAGCAGGCTGAGTGTGAACACATGACCCCACTGTGAGGTTATCACATGAACAGAACAGGCTGAGTGTGACTATCCCACTGAGGAGTTATCAGGCACCCCCTGAGACCTGGTGCTACCATAACCTCTGAATACTCAGCCACATATAGGGTCCATACCCCTGACTGAGGATTTTCCTCCAAGGACCTCTTAGTCTTTCCAGAGGGCCCCCAGGAAGTTCAGGAACACTTTCCACAGGGCCCTGCTGCAGGAACTGGGGAGAGATTTTCGCACATGCAGTGCCGTGGATGAGCTGGAGGGCATTCCATAAAGGGAAATATACCAGGCATAGAACCACAGGAACTGGGTCATCCCACACATTCCTGAGACCTAGGAAGAGCTGCTCTTGTCAGCTGAGGGAAGACTAGCAGTTTCTAGGGGAGGGAAGTGTGGGGCGTGGGAGGGGAGGGGTGGGGAGAGGAAGGGTGGCGGGTACTAAGCCATGCCTGTGAGAAGGTCAGGTGTGCTGTGTTGTAAATAACTACCCTGAGATGCACATTGTGCTTTTCAGAGAAAGACAAACCACGAAAAAACCAAGACCCACGGCCCTCTTCCAAGACTTGACCATCTAGGCCGTGGAAGTCCACACACGTGATGCCGGGTGGGCTTCTGGAGGGAGCTGGACAGCCCTGCTCCCACGCTGTGGTTATGACTCTCAGTCAGTGTAGCCACTATGGAATTCAGTGTGGGAGCTCTGAAAACATTTAATACTAAGAATATAAGTGCAGGAGATCCAGCAATCTTTTTAAAGGCTGCAAGGATCAGGGGCTGGGAAGACGGCGCAGTGGTAAAGATCATGTTTTTCAAGTATGAGGATGCAAGTTTGGATTCCAGCACCCCACAAAATCCAGGGGAGATACATCTGTAACCCTAGATCCAAGGGGCAGAGAAAAGCAGATCTCAGGGGCGGGTGACTCCTGAAAGACCCTGTCTTAAAAAAATAAAGTGGAGGATCACTGAGATATCCAAACTTGGCCTCTGGGCTCCATACATGCATGCATGGGTGAACACATCTACATACACAGTGTGCATACATACAACACACAGACAGACAAACAAATAAATACATAAATAATGAATAAATAAATAAAAGGCTACAGAGGAGAAGCCATCGTTATATACAAAGCTTTCCTTACTCCAATGGGTGTTTTATTTTTCTTTAGAAACTACCAGTTTGTACAGGTTATTTTATGAAGTAGGTATAAGAAAAGATACGGCTGAAACCTAATTTACTTTTAATTTTTAAAAATGTTTTCCACATTAAAACAGTTAAGATGATTTTCTGTTGGGTTTTATATGGTTTCTAGAATTCAAGTAGGATTAATGTACCTCATAAAAATGGCCAATTTGTATTGAGCTTCTACTAATTTCATACTCTCCCTTTGAAGGTAAAGTTGATGATGATGGTAAATATTTTCTTCAGTCAACCATGTCAGAGGTTTATGCAATTTATTAGGGGCCAGTGAGATGGCTCAGTAGGTCAAGGGGCTTTCCGACAAGCCTGACAGACTTGAGTTATTCTGAGGAAGAATATGATGGTGGGAAGACAGAACTTAAGATGTCCTGACGTCCATAAGCATGCACAGACACACACACACACACAGAGAGACACACACACAGACACACACACAAACACCACACCACACACACAGACACATACACCACACACACACACACACACACAAACCACACCATACACACACACATACACCACATACACAGACACACACACCATACAAACAGACACACACATACCACACACACACACCATACACACAGACATACACACATACACACACACAGACACACACACCACACACACAGACACACACAGACACACAAACACCACATACACAGACACACACACACACCACACACACACAGACACACACACACCACACACACAGACACACACACATACACACACACAGACACACACACCACACACACAGACACACACACCATACAAACAGACACACACATACCACACACACACACCATACACACAGACATACACACATACACACACACAGACACACACACCACACACACAGACACACATACATACACACACACCACACACACAGACACACACACACCCCACACAGACATACACCACACATACAGACACACACACCACACACACATACACACAGACACATACACACACAGACACACACCACACACACATACCACACACACACACCATACACATACCACACACAGACACACACACACACCACAGACACACACACACACTTTCCCTGATTCCTATCATCACAAAAACGTACATCATCGTCATCAAGTTCTTCCCTCGCTGGAGATGACGTCTCACACTCACACCTCATGTGCCCCCAGGACATCAGCTCTGAGGAGAGCATGCACCACCTCCTAGGCTCCTTACCTCTGCAGATGGGCCGGTGGTCGCTCCACGCCGCCAGGGTCTCTGTTACTCTCTGGCAGGTAATGCCCTTGGATCCCTGGAGCACATAATTATCCTCACAGGAGAACTGCACGTTTGCACCGACCCTAGAGAGTAGCAGAGAGAAAACAGTCCAAATCACCCTCTGCAAACTCCCAAAGAACTCAACAGAACGGCAGCTACAGCGTCACTCAATGGGAACGACCGAAAGCTTTCAACAGTGTGCAAGAGCTCATGGTTTGGGAGCCGGTGTGGGGTGGGGGGTAGAGGTGGTTGTAGAGAGCATCTCAGGTAGTCCAGCCTGGCCTTGAACTTACTCTGAAGTCGAGAATAACCTTGAATGTTCTGTGGAAGATTGTGCATAGAGGGCCACTTTGGAGCCTGAGCTGTTGCCCCACCAAACAGGCAAACTTTTGGATACTGTCACACCCTAAAATGTCTGTGAGGGAATTTTGCACCCTGAAACCAAAGTGAAATTGGATGTCATTCCATGTGACTAAATATTTATTGAAAGAGCCCAGGTAAGGAGCATCTCTGTGAAGGATCTGTGTTCCTATCACAAACATTCATCATTCCCAAAGGACAGTGATGTTACACTTCAGAAATACATCTTACAGGAAAGGAATCATTTATTTTAGAAAACGGGAATCCGTCCAGCCTGGAGTGAGATGGAAAATTGCTTTGGCCCAGAGCTGAGCCTGCAAACAGGAAGCCATAGGTTGTAACAACCCAACACACTGCCGTTGAGCACCAGTTGGACAGGCACGTGAGGAGGTGAGACAGGCAGGCGTCGCTCTGCGCACAGCAAACATGATGTTGGAGGGACTGGAGGGGCAGAAATAGTGCAGATACAGTACTCATGTATGAAATTCTCAAAAAATAAAAAACAATGTTATAAAAAGCACAAATAAAAGATAAAGCAAGAAATAAGAGATGCTTCCTGTCCTGCCCATCGAAGACAGACGTCTCACAGGTGGTAGATGAGTATTTCTCACATGTACCTACACAGTTCTCTTTCTGTGGAAAGTCTTAAATGAGTGCAAAATCATCATAACAGAGTCACTCCAATTTGGGAAACCCTGGATTAAATGAAATTAAACACGTGTTTATTAGGGACTCTTAGTCTAATAAAAGTTAATATATGACTTAATATGCAAAATTGTGTGTCCATTTAAAAGAATGTAAAGTACACAGACTTTTCCAGTTTTATTTGTTCAAGAAGCCATTTTTACACTGTGTATCAAGAACAACTAGGATTAATGACACAGGTTTTGAAAAAAAGAAAAAGCATTATAGGACACAATGTTTTAGTTTTGAAAGCAGAACGTGTGAAAACCGGTCATTGTTTCATGTCAGTCTGCGGTTACTGAAGACAGCTATAATTTGTAGATACCCCCATCACTCCTGGTAATCAGTCCTTGTTTAAACCTCTGAACCACAGTGAAGAAGTGAAATACATCTATGGATTGTGTTTTGAAAACAATGATTGCATTCTGCTCTGATCTGCAGGATCTTTCCAGTTTACTTGGATTTCCATACATTTGTATACGTTCACCAGAATTCAGAACAGTTGCACTAAACATTTACTACGTCACACTGTAGGCATCAAAAGTGCAGAAATGAAGAATACAGGCAATGCCCCAGTTTCAAGATGATACAGTGGTTAAGGAATGGGACAGGAGCAAAGTAAAGAAACAGAAAACGCGGGAGTGTCTTAAGGTTGTGAAATACATAAAATAACGTGAGCAGAATTGGGAAAGGCAGAGCTGGAATTTCCAAGTACGCCAAAATGTTTTATCATCTTAACCTGAGATGCCGATTTCTTTTTTTAAAAATATTTTATTATTTTTATTTATGTATGTGAGTGCACCTGTGTTGTACAGTGCCCACAGACATCGGAAGAGGTCATTGGATCCCCTAGAACTGGTGTTATAGATGGTTGTTAGCTGCCACGTGGGTGCTGGGAACTGAACCTGGGTCCTCTGTAAGAGCAACCAGCACTCTTAACTGCTGAGCCACCTCTCCAGTCCTAAGATGCTAATGGACATAATGGTCCACGATGGGCATCAGAAAGCCAGGGAAGTGGGCGGGTACTTCTGCTTGCCAAGCGGTACAATAAAGACAGTGTGTGGCTCTGACAGACCGTGCCCTCCCATGTTTCTCCTCACCTCCTGCCAGTGTTCCTTTAGGAATTCTCACTATATCTTGATCAAGTTCATGAAAAACAACCAGGATTCAAAAATTCTCAAAGTACAGGCATCAAAGTTAGAAATAGACAAATGGGGCTGTTTCAGACTAAAAGCCTTCAGTACAGAACCAGAAACCAGCAGAGTGAAGACAGTTTCTTAAGGGGCAATATTGAGAACCTGATGCAAGGAATCCAACTGCTCAGTGGGAAAACGGAGACCTATTTAAATATGAACTAAGGAGCTAAACAGACATTCTCAGAAGCAGACAGGCCAAAGACTACCAGGCCCAGGGAAGGGTGGTGAGAGCTGTTTCTCCAGGAACTGCAGAGGGAAGATAAACAGAGGAGTCACATCTTGTGACTGCATTGGAAAAGGAGGAGGCAGGCATGGGTCAAGAAATGGAAAACCCGTGTGCTCTGTAATGTGAATTAGGACAAAAGTTCTAGAAAGTGATCGACATACTTTCAAATCATTAACAAAGTACCGCTTCATGGCACAGCAACCTCCCGCCTCCTACATGTGGATCAAAGGAGATGAAATCACTATCAGAGTGATGTCTGTAATTCCATTTCCACTATAACATTGCAAATCACAGGCAACACAGAGACTCAAGTGAGCAGCTGCAGATAAGTGGACAAAGTCTGGGGCCTGAACAAAACAGAAAAGCCTCCCAGCCCTTTAAACCAGCAGGACACACTGTTATTTCCAACAAGATAGATACACTTGGAGGCCACTTTTAAAATCATATTTTGTTTGTTTATATATAGATGAGCATATTACATGTATGTATGCAAGAGCACCTGTGTCTTGCAATGCTTGTGGAGATCAGAAGAAATTTTCAAATGACTTGGTACTGGAGTTACAGACGACTGTTAGCTGCCATGTGGTTGCTGGGAATTGAACCCAGGGACAGAAAGACCACACATGCTATTACATGTGGAAACTTACAAACAAGGACACACATAAGCACAGAGAAGAGAGGAGTCACCGGGGACTGAAGAGCAAAGTGGTCCAGGGAGATGTCATAGGTCAGGACAGTTCAGTTTGGAGGAGCAAGTTCAGAAGGTCCCGGGCATGAATAGAGAATACAGTGAGACTCTACTGTTTGTTTGAAACTTTTGAGATAGATTTTAAATATCCTCATTCCAAAAGTTATGGTCACATGATGTCATAGATATGCTAATTGGCTCAATTCAGGCATCTATAATGTGTGCATGTTTCCAAATTATGTTACATATAATATGCTTATATAATTTTCATTTGTCAAATTAAAGAAACACTATCAGGACTATGACTAATGGACCCCATTTGTGGAATCGTAGTGTATGTTTGCCCTCCAAATTATGAGATGATGCCGCCAGAGCTAAAGTTTGTAAGCTTTGTCAGTGGCCAGGAGTAAGACCCTGAAACACTAAGCTTTTGTCAGAAATACCTAAGAAAATAAAAGTTGAAACAATGAACGAAGATTACAGAGATGTGCGTGAAAATATGTATCCAGGTAAAAGAGAAAGAAGTGATAGGAGATTGCATGTATCAGGGTCACCAGGAACTGCAGATCTGCATCTACATGTCTATATCAGAAAACAGCCGCTGAACTGTTTGAGTGATTCTATCGTAAGTATGTTTTTAAATTATAAGAACAGTATTATTCTGATTTTAATACTTAAAGGTCTCAGCATGTATGGCACAGAGCACGGGCTTCAGTGAGGGGATAGGGGAGGCATGGATGGGTCTGGATTTGAGTGGGAAATGTTGTATGAAATTTTAAAAACTCAGTAAAAAAAACAAACTCTGCCTTACCAGTAAAACTTATGCGGCTTTTTGCTACTCTAACATTCCCCCCTCTGAAGAGGTAACCCTAAAATCTTGTAAGGATTAGATACAGGCTCCCAAATACTTCTGACATTTTAGGCCTTCGGAACAGAGTATGTTGCTAAGAGGCCCAAGGACATTTTGACTTTTAGCTAAGAAACTGGCTACATTCTTTGGGGTCTTTTTACCCTAACTGCCTAGCCAATTCCTACCTCCTGTTCTTATCACATCATCCACTGAAGGGGTTACCCAAATTGCCAATAGGGAATCGGGACACAGACCGCTCTGGCTTCTTCCACACTGAACATGAGGCAACTGGAGTACCCCTTCAGTGGGTCTATGTAAAAGACTCCCAAATTGCATAACTCTTATCTCTAAGGGGAAAAGAAAGTCCTTGAATCATGAATTGATGTGAAGAGAAGTAAAGGCAAGAGTAAGTAGCATTGCAAGTTCTAGATAGGGAACTAGAAAAAAGTCAGAACAGGGCAGTTTTCAAATGTTCATATGAGAGTCCACTGGAATTTCTTGACAAGGGCTTCCAAAAGCATCCCTTTATTGGGTTCCTCCTCATTTTTCTTTTGTCTTCCAAGGCTGGACTCTAGAGTGATGGATTCAGGATTTGCTTTCATGTATTTTGATAGCTGTTGGATGGTTAGAATCAGCGTCAGTTCCCTCTCAAAGGCTTCAGGATAGGGGGAGAAAACAGATTTAGCCATCAATCCCTAGTCTATCTGTTGGAGGCCCCACCTTTCCAGTCTCACTGGTCAATCACCTGGTGATAGGACCATCCCTAGGAAGGCAGGTTCACCTTAAGTTATGTTGAACAGATGGCAAAATACCTGGTGTGTTAGTGAGGTAGTGAATTCTTCCTGCCTGGAATCCCGCCTTATAAACACAGAACTCAGAACTTCTGACCAGCCACAGTCATGCAGGTCTCTGTAAGTCTGTCCACTTTCTGCCGTTTGGGTCCATTCTTCAATTCCTTTATGAATGAGACTAAGAACCCTCTAGGGGACCCTCTTTCCCTCCGTTTCAGTATAGGACAAAACTATGGACTTGTGGTGTGCTTAATTAAGAGACAAAATGACCTACAGTAACAGTACGTG